CACACACACACACACACATACAGACAAATAAGCGCTTTATTATAAGTAATGATATATATATATATATATAATATATGATATATATGTGTGCATACATACATATGTTACCGTACTTTTGTATACATGCTGCAATATGTTGAGAGAGGTCAAAAGGAGAATTTTTACTGTACAAAGAAATGACTTAGTACTAATTTACTTAAGCGAAAAAAAGTGATGAGGCAATAAAGGTACCTAAAAATAAAAGAGTCTTCAACAATTGTCATTAGAAGGTGTGGCTGATAATTTCCACGCTCTTCCTGCATACCTTTCAACCTACGCAATACACGCACCTTAAATAGAGGAATTATTTTTACAAATTTCAGCCTATCTGGCAGCCTGCCAGAGGACCAGGCAGCTTCATCAAAAAATGATAGCAACCATGAGTGAGCACTTTGTTTTTTTAATAAACACTAACTGAGATATCTTACAGCTATGTTTCAGTCTTAATAACCTTAGTATAGTTCAAGTGATTATACTGTTGCAGTTTGCCTCTGCAGCCGCCCTTACCATATTTGCAGTGGGTCAGCGACTTTCCTCAGCATTTTTTCCTATCAATAAGAGCAGAATTTCTTTGCAGTAGGAGTATCCGTTAATCAACCGATTGGTTTTATCCTTCTTCTGGCATTGCTTCAGTTTCTCATAGCACTTCCGGGATTTGCTTTTCACTTCACCAAAAGAAATGGTGAGAAGATACCAATTTTAGTAAGGACTTGTTGAATTTAACTCAGGATTCTTACAGCATTTTTCTTCACATATGTTCTCTTCCAAGTGACAACGCTCGTAAGTGAGATAATTTGGTTTATCTATAGCGTCGCTACAAACACGTATACAGCTATCACGGTCATCATTCTAATTGTTCTTATTTTCATACAGGTGAGCATATGCAACTGTATTTGAATAAAAAACGTGGTAAAAATTCATAAAGTATGAGTGCTCATTAGAAATCCCTTAAAAATTACCCTCCAGGCCACAGCTGTGCTTGCAGCTACATTATTTAAGAATATAGTTGTAAATATGAAAGATGGAAAGATTACAAAACGGCACCAAGTTAAACGTAAAAAGAACAAGGGTGTTAGCGAAGAAGGAAACGTAGAGAGTAAGATTATTTGCAGGTGGGCTGTTTCATAAATTCTTAATGAATAGCTACTTACAGCTCCTCCAAGGTCTCCAGAATCACCCAAACGAAGGTCCTCATCTACTAGAGATGAGACTTCCAGCCAGTCATCACGGCGCCCTCGGAGGAC